TGCCGTGAAAGACGACTAAAGAATTATGAAACAGATATGTTGCACCGAAAGGTGCAGATATCGCAGTCTAGCGGTAAACAATAACCAACCGTGTCAACTAGACCTTTGAGGGAAAAGGCAGAAGAAGAAGAAATCTCTGCATTTCCAAAAACGGAAAGGGTTGGGGGAAAAAAAGCTGAATACCAATCTCTGAGCACAAATCATTTTGTGTATCTTGCATTGTTCACACACGAATGGAGATTTTGTGCTACTTCCCGTCGTCATACTAACGGATATTCTGTTGCTGGTAGCTTCTTTATCTTCTTCATCTTCCTTTTTCTACACCTGGAATGTCTCGGGGCAGGAAGAGATCTCTGGAACAGGCCCTTCAGTTCACTTCGTATAAAGTACTTTTCAGTGTCTCTGATATTTAGCGGTCCATATTCTGCGTGGTCGTCCTCTGGCTCTGTTACCGTTGTATATAAAGAGGCGTTCAGTTGTAATAAGTACCAATAAAACGAAGAACCAACTTGTATTATTAAACGTACAAGGTGTTTGTAAGCTATAAACGCACATCCTTCTTTTATGAAAGTGTTCTTTGTAAATATATAATTTATGATATTTGAATATGCCAGTTTGTACAATCAAAGAGGAGGGATGGCTGGCCGAACAGTTAATTTAGACTCTAGCGGTCATATTGTGTTCATCACCTAGTGTTCTTTCCTATTGGGCTACAATATCACTTACTCAAGCAGGAAACCCAGGTTCGAATCCTTGGTCAGAGTAAGGGATATTTCTACTTCTTCTTTTCTCTACTTATGAAATGCCTCCCGGCGTCAGGGCAGGAAGAGATCTCTGGAGGGGGCCCTTATGTTAGCTTCGTATAAAGCACTTTTCAGTGTCCCTGATATTTTTGCGGTCCATCTCTGCGCGGGTGACCTCTGGATTTCTTACCGTTGTATCTGTATAACATTGCGCTCTGTTGTGCCCTGTCTGATGCCAGTCTTGGAGGGAGAGGAAAAGATGATGGGAAGGTAAAGGAAGAGAAGTTGTGGTAAAGGATTAGGAAGATACAAAGGAGGTAGAAGAAATGTACATGTGGAAGAGGAAAACAATATCAGTGCTCATAATATGAAATGTAATGACCCCCAAGTGCCACGAACTTCTCCCCCTACCTAGTACATAATGTTATACTGCAGGGAGACATCTGCCGGCGTAATGCTGACCACATTACCCATCCAGTGCCGATTGGTCTGTAAAAATATGGGACGCTCTTCCCATATATCCGATGCGTCTAAGGCGTGAAAAGGGATCGCAGGGAGACACATAAATCATACCCCATGGCGATGGCGAGTGTGAAGAAGAGAGGCTGGCGTCACTATTAGAGCACAGAATTTCAGTGTCATTGTTGCCACAGCATATCTTTCATGCTCTTTGGCGGGTCTGATCTTAAACTATGCATAATCATTTTCTCGTGTATTGTTATTCCCTTATTGATTGTTCCACTCTACGCAGCATGGTCCGTGGCATTCTGTTCCCATCAGTCTACCGCAATATCTGTATCCTTCGTGTCCTGATTGCTCACATCTTTATTTCTAAGTATAGGCTATTACACTTCTGTAATGAATTGTAGAGATTGATCTCGACATCTATTATGTAATTCACATTCATTTCTGTAATTCACCCTTAAGGATGACCTTCGGGACTCTGAAACCTCGATCATCCAAGTCTGATCTAGCCATCAGTCTTCGAAGACTGTACAGTAAGCAAACTATTGTGATACCTGCTCTTTCCAATATAATCAGCGTAGGCGGCGCGACACAGACAAAACGATGGGGGTGGTGGACGCGGGTTCTCTGTCAGCCCCTCCAAACTTCCCAGGAGTTTACCTGATACCAAGTTTAGATTTGGTCGACCAGAAGTCAAGGTAATTTTTTCAAGGCATTACCCTGGACCCAAAATAAAATACTCACCTGCACAGTTCGTGGCGATAGCACGAGCCAGGCGGTCGTAAAAAAAAGGGGGGGGGGGGGGGCTCCAGTAGCATGATCTAGGATTCGGCGCCTACGTCTCAGTGTTTGTGATCTTCACGCTTTATGCCAGCTGTTCATCTTACGCACAATAACTCATTGTAACAGTCGTGATAATAACAATTTGATATCAAGACAGTTTAATATCCACGTCAGTCGATATAATTTTAAAAAAAAAACATTAACCTTAAATTGTGACATACAAGTGGACCTCGTGCACAAGATATTGGCACACAATTCTAAATTAGGCCTCTGTCTACATAACGCGTCTTATACCCAACATATAAGAGGCCCCATGCTAAAAGGGAGAAATATATCCACAGACCCTTAACTACCTGCCGTGAAAGACGACTAAAGAATTATGAAACAGATATGTTGCGCCGAAAGGTGCAAATATCGCAGTCTAGCGGTAAACAATAACCAACCGTGTCAACTAGACCTTTGAGGGAAAAGGCAAAAGAAGAAGAAATCCCCGCATTTCCAAAAACGGAAAGGGTTGGGAGAAAAAAAGCTGAATACCAATCTCTTCTTTGAGCACATATCTTTTTGTGTATCCTGCATTGTTCACACACGAATGGAGATTTTGTGCGACTTCTCGTCGTCATACTAACGGATATTCTGTTGCTGGTAGCTTCTTTATCTTCTTCATCTTCCTTTTTCTACACCTGGAATGTCTCGGGGCAGGAAGAGATCTCTGGAACAGGCCCTTCAGTTCACTTCGCACAAAGTACTTTTCAGTGTCTCTGATATTTAGCGGTCCATATTCTGCGTGGTCGACCTCTGGCTCTGTTACCGTTGTATATAAAGAGACGTTCAGTTGTAATAAGTAGCAATAAAACGAAGTACCAACATGTATTATTAAACGTACAAGGTGTTTGTAAGCTATAAACGCACATCCTTCTTTTATGAAAGTGATCTTTGTAAATATATAATTTATGATATTTGAATATGCCAGTTTGTACAATCAAAGAGGAGGGATGGCTGGCCGAACAGTTAATTTAGACTCTAGCGGTCATATTGTGTTCATCACCTAGTGTTCTTTCCTACTAGGCTACAATTTCACTTACTCAAGCAGGAAACCCGGGTTCGAATCCTTGGTCAGAGTAAGGGATATTTCTACTTCTTCTTTTCTCTACTTATGAAATGCCTCCCGGCGTCAGGGCAGGAAGAGATCTCTGGACGGGGCCCTTATGTTAGCTTCGTATAAAGAACTTTTCAGTGTCCCTGATATTTTTGCGGTCCATCTCTGCGCGGGTGACCTCTGGATTTCTTACCGTTGTATCTGTATAACATTGCGCTCTGTTGTGCCCTGTCTGATGTCAGTCTTGTGACGCGGCTAAACAATTTGACTTGTTGTCTACCTATACAGTTTAGTGTTGGTTCTGTGCCGACTCACCTCCTGATATCATGGTTCCTAAGTCTACATTTTCTCGATACACCTAGCATTTGACGTAAACATTTCATTTCTGCTGTGACTATTTTCCTTCTGTCTTCTGAAGACAGTGTCTGTGTTTGACATTGATAGCATAGCGTTGAACAGTGTTCTTTTGGTGTTTCATATTTACATGCTTGCATTTCAAAATTAATGCCATTCGGCCTAAAACTTGATTAGCTTTATTGCATCTCTAGTGGATTTCCATATTAATTTTTCCTTTGTCTGAAAAACATGCTCCCCAGATGTGTAAAATCCTTCGCCTGCTTTAACTGCTGTTCATCAATTTTGATATTGGCGGCTCTTCCTTTTCTGGAGAATGTCATCACTTCTGTTTTTTTTTTTTTTACGTTGTTCTTCATATCGTAGTTGTTGCATTTTGAGTTGAGAGGTGAAGTCAGGTGAATTGCCTAGTCGACAATTTCAGGGTTTTGTATTAAGTGTTGAGTTAAGAACTGTCATCATAGCACTCAGAACGTTCCCATGGGCGCTCTGTTCTCATCTTCAGCAGCAAGCTAATAGTTCCGATTCCAATGGTGTCAGTAGCAGTTTGATTATAATCACATGTGGTCACGCCATTCCTTTGAATGAAAAGTGTCGACCAGATCTTCTGGTCACTCATAGATGTACCATTCTCTCCAGACCACAATGATCTATTCATGCCTCTATTCGTTTAATCGCTATCAAAGGGCCTTAATCACATCCATCAGTCAGCTTTAATTCCCCCACTTCGTTGTGTAGAACTAGCTAGTTTGCCCCTCTCTTCGTTTCCCATCCCTCATGTATGCCCCGAGACAACATAATTTTGCAAAAGGTCTCATCTTTATGCTAGAACGTTAAATGATAGGAGTCACAATTAGGTGCTGCCCTTCCAATTCACATAACCTGTGTTTCCGCGCACACACAGACACACACCAAGCGCGCGCACACACACACACACATTGACCCTTTGTTTACCTAACTAGCAGGGCTCGCAAATCCATGCATGAGTAGAGAGACATCTCTCGCTGGGCTAACACGCCCACATTCTCGAACACTGGTGCTTGCGCGACCGGCCGCCATGACTTCCCAGGCGTTTACCTGGTACCTATTTAAGGCTAGGTCGACCTGGGAGCCAAGGTCATTAATGAAAAAAGCCCAGCACCGTCAGTACCTTAGTCTAGCCACTACACCACAGCGGCTACTTGAGCAAACAGGGGGAACGGAGAGATCTTCGACACTGTGCTTGTGGGGAGTATTACTCAGGTAGAGATTCGGAAGGAAAGTGACTGGACCATTCCCGCTCTCATAGCCACAGGGTTCAGAACCTCAAGGACTCGGGCTGAAGGGTTACAAATCAGCATTCCTGAGATTACAAATTCAACGAACCAGCCAACAACTCAACCAACCCACTTTATATCATGCATACTTAAAATTAAACATAAAAATGAACGTTTCGTATATAAAAATGATCTCCCGCCAACGCAGGTAGCAACACCACACATTGTGAGATCCACTGATGGCGAAGAACTACTTTTAAACCAGAGGAAAAGACCAGTCGGAAATCATCACTGCGCGCATCACGGACCGGTCCCTCCGCACACACTCATGAGCCTATGGTGGTTGTTGAGAAAGTTCTCGAACTGTGTCTTCCAGTCCACCATGTAGTGAGTTTTCCACTCGTAGAACTGTTCTTTCCATTCCTTCTCAGCGTCACTGATGTCAGCTGTGAAATAAATGGCAGGAAAAAACGGTTAAAAGGGAAATAACTTTACAGCGATCGTATATAAATTGTATTTTTTTTTGTTAAAACATAAAACAACATGGGAAATATATTCATAAGTACTCAATAATTTAGAGGTAACAAAGGGATGTTCAAAATCAGGTGCTGTGCAGGTAGGCGATTTCTGTCATAGTTTGTCAAGCCACACGATTAGCGGTCGGGGATTAGATGTGTATTCTTTGTAATTTTGCATGTGACCAAGACATGTGCTTGTCTCCCTTTTTTTTAGCAGTCTATTACTTCCGATTGCATGCATAGAAAGTCTTCAACTCGTCTTATTTCTCCAACCATTTAAACGATTTTTATCAATTTCTGCAAGGTCTGTCTTAATCGTAATTCTTTCCGTCTGTGATCTTGTAGTCCATGCCGTGGGGCGTCGGTAGTCGTCTCTCCACAGCCAACTGTGTCACCCACTTTCAGTCAGTTCTGACACGTGTCAACTTCCAGGGCATGAAGTCAAACTGTCCGGCATCTTCTCTCTCTGCCACCTTCTGTCTCGTTTCTCCCCTCCAACTTTTCCATCGTCATGGTGTAATTCAGTGTTCTCCTTTTCATGATATGACGAAAGAATCAGGATTTTCCGTTTCTTATGTGGGCAATCAGTGCTTTTCGTGAGTCAGTTTTTAGGAAATCTTCATTGCTTTTTTTCCCCTCAATTATTATTATTATTTGTCTATGATATTCTCATCATTCGTCTATAAAACAACATTTCCGCCACTTCCAAATCACATATCTAGTCATCCACCTGTGGGATACAATTTTACGTTATTTTGAAGCTGCAGTATAGCCCGGCCATAAATATGGTCTAATGGCTGAACGCGGTTTTCGGAATCTCTCCACGGGTGATCCTCATCCGCATGGTGGCATTTTGTGTCATGGGGTGTTTATCGCTTGTGTGATGTCCTGGTGGGGTAAAATCTACTACTACTACTATTACTTCCAAATAATTTTCCTAATCGGCCAATTGTCCATGATTCCTTATATCAGGATAGGATTTATATAGCTCTTGAGAATTATCCTTCTCGTCTCAACTGACAAAGAAAGATTTGAACTTCTTTTTTTTTTTTAAATAAATAAACCACGTTCTGCTGACATTTAGCTTATAAATATTTATGTTTTTCTTTGTCTATGGTACTCCGAGAATCGTTCGTTAGCATGTCTTCTCAAAAGCCACTATCTCCTTCCCTAATGATTATGAGATATTCCTCAACAACCATCGGTATATTTTTTCAAGAATTGTGCATATTCTCAAACTACTGACTTTCGCTTTGCTTACCGGTGCATCATGATAGAGTTTAAATACTTTTTAAAAGTATATACTCTACATTGCACAATACAGGTCTTATTTGTGTCAGCATATATTGACAGAAAGTAACTTCGTGTACTCTTAGTTGCATGTCAACATTATCATAGTCCTGCTTCACGGCACCAGATTGTTTCTAACAATGCTCAGTCTCGTTTCCCAGAGCAGTTAGTCGCCTGTCTTGAACATCGCACAAAGCACTAGCTCTATAGGTCAAGCGACAATCATAGGGATCTCTAAAACCTGTTCTAACGAGAACTTTTTCTTTCCATCTTTATCCAACTGCTTATGTCGTAAAAGGTCGAAGAGAGGAGTCAGGTGTATCTTCCTGTATGTGTGCAGTATTGTCTATTCTATGTATGTGCTGAAGAAGGCTTCATAGCCGCAACATTCACGTTTTATTTGTGTTTTTATATATGTGAAGCTCGCTGATATACTTTTCGTTCGGTTTTATATCATTTCCTGTCTTTTGCTAGTTATGTAGGTTGTATTTTAAGGTCATATCGCGTTTCTGTAGTTTCTTTTTTACTGCACCCACCCTTCTCCGCCTCTTGCCTTGTAATCTGCTGTTCTCATGAAGTACGCTCTAGATGATAGTTGATTTTGTTCTATTCTGACCAGATGACCAAACCATTTTTTTTTGAGTTGATATTCTTAAAAATGACTTAGTGGCACTGTTCCTACTACTGTGGGAAAAAAACTATGCGTTGGCACTCAGCCAAAGTCTCATATGTGTTAAATCTGTGTTTCAAGAAAATTTCATTTTTCTTTGAAGTGAAAAATAAAAACCGGGTAGTTACCTCAAAAAGTAATCCTTCATTATTACTGATTTCATCAATCAGCAAGTCCTCTTCTGAACGTCGCTCTCTTCACGGCACGCCTGAAAGTATTCCTTTCCCTAGCCAGCTCTCCGGCCCCATCTGCTTTCAATGTCAATACAACTTCAATGTCCTGTATCCATCTTTGCGGTGGTCGACCCCTGCCTCGCCTTCCACAAACTTCACCCTCCATCACCGTCTTTTTCAAGCCAGAATGACGCTTGATGTGGCCAAAAAACTTCAACTTTCGGTACAGGATTCTGTTTATGAGCCAGTTCTCCTTGATGTTCAACTCGTTCTGAATGTCGATGTTTTTCCTCTTCCTGGTCTGTGGTATTCTAAGAATTTTTTATATAACTTTTAGATTCAAAAGCTCTAATCGTTTTTTCCTTAGTGACTGAGTGAGAGTCCAAGACTCACAACCGTGATTTAGGGTCGGGAATTCAGATGTACGTCTCTGGCGTATTATAAAGTAACAAATAACAACCCTGAAAATACACTTAGGTGAAAAGTGGCATTCACCTGCAGTTGGGTGACTTTGGCATATTGTCTGGAGCATCGAAATAAATGCTACACATTTATAATAACCCCAATTTAAAGTCATCTCCAAAGACCAAGTGACTGTAACACAGAGACGACACTTCAGTGAAAATATAAAACACATACTAAATTAATACGCCAGTTTAACAAGAACACAATCACTCAAACTGGTTATATTTGTATTTAAACTGTCTCGTCAAGAAATAAAAGCTATCACCATATTATTTTTCTTTTCTGTGCTGTCCAAAAGTTATTTCTCATCAAAATTTGTTTTCTGTTACTAAAAGACTATAAACTTCAAAACTGAACAAAAAGAGAGAGACGATATGACTACATTCTGGCATGCAGTTAGTTCACTTACCTTGAATATCTTTCCGCGCGAACAAGAATTAGTCCATGCGGTAATCTGAACACGCGCAATCAGCATGCTGTGGCGTGGGTTCCAACACAAACATGCACAATTCAAATAAGTCATTGCTGGCAGTAGAAATGGTTAGTAATCAATGTAATTATTTTAACGCTGCTCGGGAATTCTTTTTTTGTATTTCGACCCATCTTTGGGCTCCAGATTTCGTAAGGGATTCCCGGGAAAGTCCAGTAGTATAGGGGTGTTAGGATGTGAAATTAACACCGACCGCCCTACCCCCCCCCCCCCCCACCTCCCGCGGTAGTTTTGGACTTTCCCGGGAATTCTCTCGGAGCTTCCGAGATGGGATGAAATAAAAGAAAAGAACTCTGCTCGGGACATTTGAGAGATGAAGTCCCATTGCCATTTTGCCTTGTGCGCGCCATATTGTTCCGTTTTTAGTCACACACGAAAGAAGGCTGGTGCAATTGTTGTTACTACAGCGGCAGCAGAAGCAGCGGTTGTTCTCGTTGTTGTGGTGGTGGTGGTGGTGGTGGTGGTGGTGGTGGTGGTGGTGGTGGTGGTGGCAGCGGTGAGCGCCGTCGCGTTGAATGACTATCTATTTACGAAACAAAGTATCGGATACTGGTGAAAACAAAAGTAGCGTGATGACCACAGACACGTTAAGGACTGGTTATTTATGTGATCTGTATCCAGGCTAGGGGTACCAAAGCCTGGGACTCCTGCTCCATCAGCCTCCTTCCCTAACTTTTTAAGGGGTCTGCACCACTTATATTACCCTAAACATATGCACAAGGCTGACAATTGACCTTCTTATCCTGTTCTGACCTTCTCTTTTTCATATTTATTTATACATTTCATTTTTTAAACCCATTTTTTTTTCACGCCTTAGAGCGTATTAGTCATTTTTTACTAGATCTATATTTTATAGACCAATCTACAATCAGTCAGCAAAACACACACGATTTAATCTGGCAAACCATAAGGTGCATGCCTCCTTATAAACACTGCGAGACCAGGCGTCATCGCTGAAAATCAACTTCATTCGACGAATAGCTGGACGATGAGTAGACATTCAATATTCACGGTGAACTATCAAACTTAAATTACAATAAAATATCTGTTATAAATGTAACCTTATAATAATTGGTCTGCTCTGTGGTTTGATGTTGCCAAGGGCCGTGGTTAAGTCCAACCCAGCTGCTGACAACTTGACAGCAGACCACACTTGTGTCGACACCGATATCCAGAGCACATAGGTGAGCAGATAATGGCAAACTACTGATTGTAAAGTGGCGTCTGTGGCTTAGGCGTTGCTAGTCCGACTAATAATTCCAACGTACCGGGATCGAAACCCATTGCTGGCTGTTTGGATTTTTATCATGGTACGGGGCGTCGTAGGTCGAACCAGCCTAAAATGGGCAATAGGATGTATATCTGGGGAAATAAAGACGGCCGGCGTAATGCTGACCACATTACACAACTAGTGCTGATTAGTCTGTTAAAGTATCGATGCTCTTCCCATATGCCCGATGCGCAATAAGGCGTAAAAGGGATGTTTCTTTTTAACTGATAGGAAAATCGTCTGGTGGAATCATAAAATGCCAAAAAATAGTGAGATTCGTTCTGCGTAATCTCGTAAAGGATACGCAACTAAAACTCAATAATAATAATAATAATAATAATAATAATAATAATAATAATAATAATAATAATAACAATAACAATAACAATAATAATAATAATAATAATAATAATAATAATAATAATAATAATAATAATAATAATAATAATAATAATAATAATAATAATAATAATAATAATAATAATAAATAATAATAAAAATAATAATAGTTCAAAATAACGTCTTCTGTTTCATCAACAACAGAACTAACCAAGAGTCGCCATAGCGTAAAGGTAAGCATACGTGCATCCCAGGGATGATAGTCGTAGGTTTGAAACCCACATAGAAGCTGGTTGTTATAACTGACCTGACCTGCTAGATCGATCTAGCCGAAAATAGGTACCAGGAAATATCATGGGAGGTAAAGGCTAGTAGGCCGGATACTGACCACATCACCCATCTAGAATTGACAGGCCAATAACAAGAGGTAACCCAGTATAGGCAGTGTGAATCAAGCCCTTGATCTGATTGTTATGACGATTGTAATTGTTGAACATTAGTTAGTATTATTATTAGTGATTGTATTATCAGTAATAGTAGTAATAATAGTAGTAGTTATAGTGGTAGTAGTAATAATAGTAGTAGTTATAGTGGTAGTAGTAATAATAGTAGTAGTTATAGTGGTAGTAGTAATAGTATTGGTAGTAGTAGCAGTATTAGTAGTGGTAGTAGTAGTAGTTTTAGTAGTCGCATAAGTAGTAGTAATAGCCGCAGCATCAGCAGTAGTAATATTGGTAGTATAATGATTAGTATTTCTGACAATGATGTCGAGGATCTTGTAAAAATTATCGTCATGTTAATGTCCCGTGCTATGTTGTGTTATGTTATCACTAACTGCAGTTAATGACTAGTGTTCTACTATGTTAAATTATCACTAAAAACAATTAGTGACTGGTGTTATGTTATTTTAAATTATCACTAATAACAGTTAGTGACTGGTGTTATGTTATGGTATCACCTTCGAAGTTAGTGACTAGTATTCTGTTATGTTAAATTATGACTAATGGCATTTAGTCCCTAGTGTTCAGTTATGTTAAACATCACTAATGGCAGTTAGTGATTAGTGTTCTGTTATCTTAAACATCCCTAACGGCAGTTAGTTACCTGTGTTCAGTTATGTTAAACATCACTAACGGCAGTTAGTTGTATGTGTTCTGTTATGTTAAACATCACTAAAGGCAGTTTGTTACCTGTGTTCTGTTATGTTATCACTATGGACAGATAGTGACTTGGGTTTTGATGTTACCTTTTTACTAACACAAGTTAGTGACTTGTGTTGTTATACTATGTTAACACTAACAGCAGTAACAGATAAGCTTTATGTTATCACTAACGGCGGTCAGTGACTACTGTTCTGTTATAATAGTAAGGATAACGGCAGTTAGTGACGAGTGTTAAGTTATACTGTGATTAACGGCAGTTAGTGATTAGTGTGGCTGTGATAATGACGACACAATTCACGTAAATAGGCGTACATATTTTGACATGGACTTACACGTCTCCGCCAAAAGCTTTGGTAGATATATATCCCAGAATGCACAGTGCTGCGTCCTTGGCCCTTGACCCCAAGTTCGACCTGAAGTAAACGAGGCGACGCTGATGTTGAGGTACAGCTGCTCGTTGTGTTTGAACTGCGGCCACTCGGGTAGTGGGGCGTCACCAGGAGCACGGTTTGGGTTTCTGAGTGAAGAGAAAGACAGCATATATGTTTGAAATAGCTTTGATATATAGTCCTATCCCTTAAAGCCAAAGTGTCAGATAAATGTCTGCTGGTGTCTTTCTGCCTAATGCCAAAGTGTAACAACTATCCTATGAACCAACCATAAGCTTGTCACTCTGGTCGTAAAGGTAGTCAACTGATCTAATTTTCTACCGCAGCGACAATATAACATCAAATCTCACAGCACCTATTGCAAAGTCACCATATCGTCTTGTCCCCATCGAGTCCGATGAAGTGCAGCAGGGGAAGATCGAGGCCTGGCTTCATGACCCAGGTCCGTCCACCTTTTGAGATTGTCTAGGGAAGTAATGTGTCCAAACAATCGTCAAAGAAGAGTCTCTCTACTGATGATTGGCAGACCCCTCTTCTTATTATTATGCTACGGCAGAATAACTGGCAGATTACAATGATCGGTTGCTTGTTGTTGGGTTTAAAACAATGTTTGCATGTTGTGAATTTAAAATCTGAAGATAAACTATACATGGCATTGTTAATTTCGAGACATATTTCGCAGCATCTCGTCAGTTGTGTTACTAGAGTTACATCATGTTGTTTGATTGCCTTGGTGATTTATATGATTGATAATGTCTTCCAATTTTCGGTAGGTAAGATGACTGATTGACTGAATCAGTGATTTGTTAGTGGATTTATTGATTTGCTTGTTTATAAATCGACTGACTCAATATGTTTTTGATTTATTTCTCACTTTCTTGATAAATATTGCAAACTTTACGAATGAACTGTAGGATCCAGTGTGTGTATATAAATATTGCAAACTATACGAATGTACTGTAGGATCTAGTGTGTGTATATAAATATTGCAAACTTCACGAATGTACTGTAGGATCCAGTGTGTGTATATAAATATTGCAAACTTTACGAATGTACTGTGGGATCCAGTGTGTGTATATACAAATTGCAAACTTTACGAATTTACTGAAGGATCTAGTGTGTGTATATAAATATTGCAAACTACGAATGTACTGTAGGATCCAGTGTGTGTATATACAAATTGCAAACTTTACGAATGTACTGAAGGATCTAGTGTGTGTATATAAATATTGCAAACTACGAATGTACTGTAGGATCCAGTGTGTGTATATAAATATTACAATCTTAACGAATTACTGTAGGATTCAGTGTGTGTATATAAATATTGCAAACTTTACGAATGTACTGTAGGATCCAGTGTGTGTATATAAATATTGCAACCTTTACGAATGTACTGTAGGATCCAGTGTGTGTATATAAATATTGCAAACGTTAAGAATGTACTGTAGGATCCAGTGTGTGTATATAAATATTGCATACTACGAATGTACTGTAGGATCCAGTGTGTGTATATAAATATTGCAAACTTTACCAATGTACTGTAGGATCCAGTGTGTGTATATAAATATTGCAAACTTTACGAATGTACTGTAGGATCCAGTGTGTGTATATAAATATTACAATCTTAACGAATTACTGCAGGATTCAGTGTGTGTATATAAATATTGCAAACTTTACGAATGTACTGTAGGATCCAGTGTGTGTATATAAATATTGCAACCTTTACGAATGTACTGTAGGATCCAGTGTGTGTATATAAATATTGCAAACGTTACGAATGTACTGTAGGATCCAGTGTGTGTATATAAATATTGCAAACTACGAATGTACTGTAGGATCCAGTGTGTGTATATAAATATTGCAAACTTTACGAATGTACTGTAGGATCCAGTGTGTGTATATAAATATTGCAAACTTTACGAATGTACTGTAGGATCCAGTGTGTGTATATAAATATTGCAAACTTTACGAATGTACTGTAGGATCCAGTGTGTGTATATAAATATTGCAAACTCTACGAATATACTGTAGGATCCAGTGTGTGTATACAAAGATTGCAAACTTTACGAATTAACTGTAGGATCCAGTGTGTGTATATAAATATTGCAAACTATACGAATGTACTGTAGGATCTAGTGTGTGTATATTAATATTGCAAACTTTACGAATGTACCGTAGGATCCAGTGTGTGTATATAAATATTGCAAACTTTACGAATGTACTGTAGGATCCAGTGTGGGTATATAAATATTACAATCTTTACGAATGTACTGTAGGATCCAGTGTGTGTGTATAAATATTGCAAACTTTACGAATGTCCTGTAGGATCCAGTGTGTGTATATAAATATTGCAAACTTTACGAATGTACTGTAGGATCCAGTGTGTGTATATAAATATTGCAAACTTTACGAATGTACTGGAGGATCCAGTGTGTGTATACAAATATTGCAAACTTTACGAATGTACTGTAGGATCCAGTGTGTGTATATAAATATTGCAAACTTTACGAATGTACTGTAGGATCTAGTGTGTGTATATAAATATTGCAAACTTTACGAATGTACTGTAGGCAAAAATTGCACCTTTTACAATTGTGTCAGGCCAGCTTAAAACAAGACCTTATGGCAACAACGCAAAACTAGTAAGGGATATTTAAAATATAACGCGCGAACTGAAAGCTGTATATTTTGTGTGCTCGTTAAAGGTGTTACATTTTTCCATTGTTAGTATTATGTGATGCAAGTAAAGGCAAAGAAACGTATCGGTATTGTCTGGTACGAAAGAGTTCATGGCTTAGAGTCTCTAGTTGTGTTTTATGATGTCCATCCTGGCATGTCTAGGCCCCTTGGTCTGTTTGCGGGTCCGTTCCTGCATTTTCTAGCAGTGGTTGTGTTTATTTTTCACGTTCTGCTGTCTTTATATTCCAATGAACGGTTTGTTGAGGCGCGTTATCTCTTCTTGACTGTTCTGTCATTCTTCTAGGTTCAGATGAGTCATTGTTTTTTAGCTGACCTTCCTCTTCTGTTGTGAATACTGGAAATGGATAAGTCTTGGAAAGAGCCTTAAGCCTCCTGGTATATACTGATGTTCATTTCAAAGAGAATATAACATATCCCCTGATGTTGTAAGAGAAATGTCGGTTAGTTCGACGTTAGTCTCCCCAAACAGAGTAGGTCACTTCATTCACAGGCTTGTTGGGCTGGTCGACTTTCTGAAGGTTACAGGTGTGTCCCGCCCTATTGTTTGGTTTCTACGATGTCTTGCATTTACGTTTTCATTCTGAGAAAGAGAATGCCTGTGACACAGGTTGCAGCACTCTCTAGGGGAGTTCTGTTAGACCCAGTTTCTCCATGTTTTTAGAGTTGAAATATACAATACGCGTTTTCAACGGCTTTGCGGAAAACCTCAGTAAACATGTGCTAAGGTTACGGGGCTCAGGAACTACCAATCGGAAGTGAGCTAGTATTATATGGGCGGGGTCTGGGGAAATTAACGTCGAACTTACCGAAATATATGAACAACCACTTAGAATAAATCTTAATCTTGTCAGGACCCATCTTGAGAACAAAAAGGCAGATAATCGCCAAACAGGAACTAATCTGAGAAGTAAGTGAGGAAGCTATAACGTCTAAGGATTACCCTAAAACTAAAGTTCATGAGAGAGGTCAATGTGGAGGTTTGAATTCCTTGCAGGATCTTGAAATGATTGCACAGGGTAGAAGGGAACAGAGGAATAAACTACCAGCTTTATGTGCAACATAATGATGATGATTATTATGATAATTATAGTAATAAGGATAATGATGATGATAATTGTGATGATGATATTGATGAAGATGGTAATGATGATTATGATAATGATCATGATGTTAATGATGATTATGATAATGATGATTATGATAATGATGATGATAGTGATGATGGTGATGATTTTTTTTTAAAACTTTATTTCACAGAAATATCAGGAATTCATGAGGCTTGTAGCCTGTACAATCATGTTCTATTTGGCTTCTATAATGAGAAAAGAAAACAAAGGGTTTCAGGAAACACAAGACTATAAATACATTGACAGATTTAGGGACAGGAAAAGGCGAACCTGCAGCCTGAAAACGAGGACAGCGCCAAGACCAGGGCATACGATTTTGTTTTAGACGTTATGAAAAGGCACATTAAAGGGCAAGATACAATCTTCTACTTCTCTTCCACCTTGTACCCCAGTGAAGTGTCGGGGGAAGATGTAACATTCGTTAATGAGCCCTGCCAAAAGCACTGTTAAGACTAATGTTCATTTCTGTAAGGCTGTTCTTTATGCCATGACTCTATATTTTGCGAGGTCTTCCACTCGCGCTATACCCGTTGTAACGTTTTAGTGTGGCTCGCTGTGGCAGATAGTACCAGGGAATTCTTGTTAGGTGTCCAAACCACTTCATTTGTTGTTCTTTGATGACCTGTATGACTGGCTTTATTCCTAGCATTCGTCTGATTTCATGATTTCGTATTCTGTCTTTCTTTGAAACTCCTGCAGCTCTTCTAAGGTATTTCATCTCTGTTGTCACAATTTTACGTTCATTGAAGGATGTAAGTGTCCACGTTTGGCATTGATAGCATAGTGTTGGCCAAAACATAGTTCTGATAAGATTCACTTTAGTACTCCGAGGTATCTGCTTGTGTGTCAACAGGAAAGATAGTTGCCCCATTACTTGATTGGCTTTAGCACATCTGGAGCTAATTTCTCTGTCCAGTTAAGATACAATAACTGGTGAAATGTATTATATTAAAGGATGAGATACAATAATTGACAAGATGCATTTAATGGTGAAATACTTTTAGATTAAATAATTCCTAGTGTGGGTTCGGGGGCCCCATTTTAGGGGAAACAGGAACATACCCACTGACCCTAAAAGCATGTCGTAGGAGGCGAGAAATTAGTGCAGTCTCTTGTGTAGACGGAGTGCATCTTCATGAGACTAAGGAACCATCAGTCTGCATACAAATAAGTCAGATCTTCACAACGTATGGGCACGCAAACGCAAGTTCTAGGACAAGACCAAAGTGCAGAAATGGACGAAAACCCAGAGTTTCCGCTGGTGTTCACAGTCCATGAACGCTAAAAAGAACAGAATATTTTAAAAAGTTGCCCAGTGTTGAAAGGCTTCCCCCGACTGGGTTCCGGGGCCCCATTGTGGGGAAAACAAGAATAGACCCACTGCCTCCCCAAAAGCATGTCGTAAGAGTCGACTAATTGGGAAGCTTCCTTTGAAGTCGAAATGCCTCTGCCGGAGAGGCAAGGAACCAACAGTCTGTGTTCAAGAGAATGAGATCTGTAAAACTGATGCACACGCAATACTCAGGTTCTGGAGCAGGACTGCAGTTCACTAGTGGACGAGCAACCAGAACTTTCCGCCAGAGTGTACAGCTGGTAAACGCGAAGAAGAAGAAAGGCCATGTGGCACCATGTTAGATGTAGAAGGTGATCAACGCATGCTGAGTCATCTAGTATAAATGCGTTGCAAAGAAGATTTAAAAAACTCACCCTGTTTTTGCGAAGTTTGTCCAGTACGTCATCATTTTGCGACTGAGATCCCGTTCTTCTTTGGTAAAGGAGTAAGAATTGTTGAGAGGATGTCCAAAGGTGAACCAGATCTCGTCAGCATGCAGCACGCCCATCCAAGCGGGCCAGGGACTCGCTGACCATCGCTGATTAAACCAGTAGTAGTAGACAGGCATATCATGCCTAGAGTAAATTCGAGCCAGCTCATTGACTGGACACACAAAGTAGCAATCACTGACCGCTCGGTCCATAGATGAAATTAGGCTAGCCTCGTCGTCGGGCTTCAACCAGTCTCGGTAGTGGAATAAAATCGCTTCTTGTCCGAACTCGTTCAGAAAGAATGGGTGGTGGGGGTAGTATTGGAATATCCTCTGTTTCATGAACGAATCCCAGACATTGCTGGACATGTCAGGATTAGTCAGGTTCTTAAACCTCACGTCTGTGTACACAATAAAAAACGTGCCTTCGTTCTCATTGCTTCCCAGGAGAATTGGGATCTTTTTGAAGTTGCCGGATCTGAGAAGCTGCGAAGGGCTCTGTCTTATAAGAATGCCATCTACAATAGGGACAAATGGAAACTGTATAGCTCCCGAAGTCTTCAAGATTTCTTGAGTGAGTGTTGCGGATGTGTATGGAACAGACCGAAGGCACTCAATGAGATAAGTGTGGTCCTTGCTGAGATCGCAGCCAACGGACGCAGCGAGTTGCTCTGAGCGCTTTTTTATGATCTCTTTAGGCAGTACCCCCCATTTTGCCTGGGGTGCTCCACTCTGCAGGATGGCTCTGTGGAAGTAATTCATGCAGATGTCACACAGCAAGAAAATTCCTACACTGACAGCTCCTGCACTCTCACCCATTAGTGTCACATTGTGGGGACTTCCTCCAAAGTTGTGAATATTCCTTGCCACCCACTCCAAAGCCATCCGCTGATCCCAAAGCCCTGCATTTCCTGGCGCTTCTGCTGTGTCTAAAGCCAGAAACCCTAGAGAACCCACTCGGTATTGCATAGAGACCACAATGATATCGTTTTCCACAGCTAAGTATGAAGGCTGGTATATATCTAATGTTGAAGAGCCACTGTAGAAACCCCCACCGTAAACCCACACAAGAACCGCCTTGTTCATGTATGGAGGGTTGGTACGAGGTACCCACACATTTAAATACAAGCAATCCTCGCTGGGTTGTGTGTTCGGATTCCACATGGTAGATCCGGAAAAATTCCCGAAAAAATAATCATAATCTTGAAAGCAGGAATTTGGTAACCGTGTTGCGTCGAAGATTGTAGTCCATGGTTCTTTCTGGATTGGGGGTCTGTACCGCAGCTCTCCCAAAGGAGGTTCAGCGAATGGAATGCCAAGGAATGTATCAATTTTCTTCCCGTTGACCACAGAGGTGAAGCCCCGGACCTTTCCCTTGTCCGTTTCCACGACTGGACCGGCTCCGCTGGCCTGGACAGCATGCCTGAGAAGCAGGACAAAGATCTGCCCAAAGGTGAGGACATTGGGGAGATAATCTATGCCAGCCATCCCCAGTATATGCATCTGGGCCAAAGCCCCGCGGGATATGACGGCACACTACAGGCTTAAGTCATCGGTTCAGCAGCTGTAAAGCCTGAAAAAAAAAGAGAGTTAATATTTTAGAACAAAAACTGTTCGCATGACTTTACTGTTCATTATAGATAGATTACGCGGCGTCCGTGGCTAAGGCGTTGCGAGTCCGACTCGTAAGCCAGCATACCGCGATCGAAACCTACTGCAGGCTGCGTGGATTTTAGTCGTGGTATGGGACGTCGCAGTTCGACCCAGCCTCAAATGGGTACCTGGATGGGCTGTCCTGGGAAAGTAAAGACAGCCGGCGTAATGCTGACCACATTACCCACAGAGTGCTGATGGTCTGTAAAAATATGGGACGCTCTGTCCATATGCCCGATGCGCCGAAAGGCGTGAAAAGGGAACTTTACTTTACTTTACTTTATAGATAGATTACACATTCATCATCATCAAGTGTACCCTGCCGATTGGCGAGGGCAATCATGCCGCTCCAAAATCTACAATCTGCAGTTGTGTATCAGTTCGTGTGTTGACACCACACCATGCCATCACAGAAGGCTGTCAAGAATCCTATCTTCCTCTGTCTCTCCTTCCACAGATCGTTTCAGAGATTATACACAATATGAGTGTGATAATTAAACGACATAAAAAGCACAGTTTAAACTTAAAAACGAACCCATCTAGGCACTCTCGCGTCTGTCTGTCATTTTTTTTTTACAAATTAATCCATTTATGCGATTTTTCATTTATCTCTCTAACTTTCTGCCTATCTGTCTGTCAGTCAGTCGATCGATCAACATGACATTCGGTTGTCTATTCGGTTTTAAGAAATTCGTTAAATCAATTAATGAGGTGTCGTCTTCACAATGAAGTTGTCTGCAGTTGACCTCTAAAACTCATTGTCCCTCGTGCTTGCTGTTGACTCTATCAGACACCATCTGTGGGCTGTTATTTTACCGTATGTATCGCTGTCTACCACTTGCTTGCTTACCTCTAGTGCGGCTTCTATAAAAGTGTGAAGCCTTTTAAAGTTGTTACTGACGGTACGCAAAAATCGGCACCCTTTTTATTGCATTTTTTTTCTCAGAACTGTTGTGAGAGACACTTTGTGGTTTCGTACCGGCACCTTTCATTAGTGGTTCTTTGTTGAGTACCGGTATCTTTCTTTCCAGAAAGGGCCCTGGTCTGCAATTATTCTCTCTCGCTCCCTCCTTTTTTCCCCGCTCTCCCTCACACACTCTTTCCCTCTTCTTCTCTCCCACTACCCCTCTATTCCAGGTTTCTATCTCACATGGTTTCAATTAGTTTTAAAAATTTTGATCTATCTGAACCTCTCTACTCTCCCTCATTCCCTAGCCCTCATGCAATCTCTCTCTCTCTCTCTCTCTCTCTCTCTCTCTCTCTCTCTCTCTCTCTCTCTCTGTCTGTCTGTCTCTCTCTCTCCCTGGCTCTCCTATTCCTTCCTTCTCACCAATCCCTCATTTTACCTAAAACGTTTCCTCTAGGACGGTTTTTCTACTGAAGGTAACACTTGCCTGTAGAAGCCACAACAGCCAAAGAATATGCTGATGTTGGATCTGCAACGTCTTGTAAAGGATACGCCACTAAATTAACTGTTTCCTTTAAGAGTGGCATGTCCTTTTATGTGCGTGTGTGCGTGCGCGTGTGTGCGTACGTGTGTGTGTGTGTGGGGTTAGTCTGTATGTGTTTGTTCGTGCGCGCGGGTGTGGGTGTATACGTGCGTGCGTACGTACGTGTGTGTGCGTATGTGTATATGTGTGTGTGTGTGTGCGCGCGCGTACGTGTGAGTGTCTTTGTGTGTGTGTGTATGTGTATGTGTGTGTGTAGTCTAGCGGCAAGGTTTGCATGTAACGACAGTAATCGGCGCTGACATTTTGCACGGCCAAAGAAATTACCATTATTTTCCTTTGTTCCTATACTTCACTCTGTTGACGTCTCAAACATAACGAAACAGATGCTAGCCGAATGCGACGCCACTCATTCAGACATTGTAGAGAGTGAAAGATACCAGTTACTAGTGCTACAATGCTAGCTGCACACATATATACTCTCATCCGCGAAGCGAGGAGGAGAAAAATATTACCTGTTGAGGTTTAAGTCCTGACCTAGCCGGACTTTTTCTTTTAAAAAAATGACATTGGCTTCCAGGACGGTCTGGCCTCAAATAGGTACCGGGTAAAGTCCAAGGAAGTAAAGGCGGCCTGAAGGCGTGGGAAAACATAACCACCCTGACCAACGCCAAACGTCATCCCTGTCAGCTCCGGTCTTCATGTTACTTCATAACCATAGGGGACCCAAATATAGCCTTACCGCAAGGCCAAATTCTAACTTGATGAGGCCTTAAAATATTTATAAAGCCCTGAGGCCCCTTCCACTTTTAATTACACCAGCTTACATCATAAAAGATTCAAATACTTGTGTATTCGCCTCTAAAATACATGGATAGTTGAAATGTATTGCCTTGTAATTATTTTTTGATTTTGAGGTTTTGAAAAACGCATCATCATCATGGCACACGGGTAACCCATAGTAACCCATAAGTGCTCCGTTCTTCCTCTAACTCAAGTCTGAGTCCGAAGAAGCTCATCACAGTGCACAAGCTCTGTAGCACTGGCGAGGATCCTGAAATATCTTGGGTAGATTTTTCATTACCAAATTTTGCTCGGGCAGCGCCGTTAAGCTACTCTTTTCGATTTCCAACTGTCAAGAGATTATTTTACGTGCGCAACAATGCACACGGGCGTCTGATCTCACTACCCATGGATCAGGGGAAATTTCTAGAAGTCCAAGTCCACGAGAAAAAATCCTAGCCCTTACCGGGGATTGAACCTGGAACCTTTAGCACTCGATGCGAGCACCATGCCTGGAGATCACACAGCCCTCTTGTAATTATTATTAAAGGAATTAATAATTAATGTGTTTGCAAAATGACAGAAATTATATAACATAATCTTCTAAGAGACTCCAGGTTACAACATGACAACCCCGTGTGGATTCCGGGGAACTGTTATAGGGAAAACAAGAATAGACTCACAGCCTACCCAGAAGCATGTCGTAAGTGTCGACTAATTGGGAGCCTCCTTCGAAGTCGGAGTGCATCTGCCTGAGAGGTAAGGAACCAGCAGTCTGCACAAACATGAGTCAGATCTGTAAAACGGATGCACACGCAACACTCAGGTTCTGGAACAGACTACAGTCCAGAAGTAAAATAAACAACCACAACTTTCCGCCAGAGTTTACAACTGGTGAACGCGAAGAAGAAGAAGAAAAAAAAAGAAGAAGAAGAAGAAGAAGAAGAAGAAGAAGAAGAAGAAGAAGAAGAAGAAGAAGAAGAAGAAGAAGAAGAAGAAGAATAAGAAGAAGAAGAAGAAGAAGACAACATGACTTTTTTTTTTTTTTTTTTTTTTTTTGATTTGCCAAATGCAAAACAATTAATTAAGTTAAAAAAAAGTAACAAAAGATGTGCGGCGTTACATGTCGCTTGTTAAACACATGGTGCTAAGTGCAGACAATCGTTCTTAAGATACTGTTTCTTTCAGTTAAAATTGTGTGTGTGTCCTCTTTAGTTAAGAAATTGATCTTTCTTCTGAGCAATTTGTTTCCATTAGACACAGTTATAGTCGTAATATGCTTCAGCATTAGTGCAAATTGAAACCTGCCCCGAAGGATGGTTTTATACAGATCTTTGTGTTGAAATTATGTTTTCACGATAATTCTACTTGTCATAATAACGGAAGTGCCTCAGTCCACTTGTTGGCCTAATATCAATAACATATATAAAAACGTAAACATCCCCCGGCAGTTGAAAATCGAAAAAGAGTAGCCTAAGGGCGCTGGCCTGTCAAAATTTGGAGTTCAAAATCTACGAATAGTATTTCAGGATCCTCGCCGATGCAACGGAGTTCTTGCACCGCGCTGAGAATCTTTAGATCCAGGTTTGAGCTAGAAGTAGAACGGAGCACTAATGGGTTACATACACTCGTGTGTCATAATGAAGATCCGTGGATAAACCAAATCTCACCAAACCAAACCATTTAAATATTATTTCGTTAAACTATATTTCGTTACACTATTTACTACTTTACATAGATGTCCCTCTGAAGATTCTGAATTGTTTAAGGCCCCTGCATATTATGAGGCACTAAGTCGTAGTTTAGTTAGCTTATACCTCAATCCAGCACTGTTTTACGGTTGAATGGGGCTTATCGGTATTTGACCAATAATTATTCTTATCCTTGAAATGACCTGGAGAGAATGATGCACCTGGGTGTGACAAGGGGGTCCTGCCGTCTGCCAGCTCACTACTCTCAGAGGAATGGCAAGACGTACATATAACCACACTAAGAACCGTGCCATTTTTATTGGAACTTTTCGCTGGCTGCTGAATACGGGAACAGGGCAACCAGTGGTGCAGAACCGACAAGTCTATCTGCCTGCACTTCATGCAACCTGAGAGGTCAGCTGGCATATCTAAAATCGAACTCGACACTTGTGAAAAACGAAGCGCGACGGCAACGCCTAAACCACATATGCCAAAACGGTGGAACTGGTTGTGTATAAGGTATATAACGACAGACTTGTATTGTTGTAGATCGAATAGTTCTAATAAGTGTTGTGGTCAACGTCACGCCGGCCGCCTTTACTCCTCAGGACCTTTCAGGGCCTCCCTTTTGTCTGTGTTGACAAGGACGCCAAGGTAAATTTTGAAGAAGAGAAAATAATCTAACAAGATTACCATTATCATTATTAACACCTCTTCCGGTAAGCGGCGTGGGGTGAAACAGTTTCCAATCCACTGCAACATGGCTGGCACCTGTCACTGTCATGCTGTGGAGAGGTACAGTGTCTTTAGTCTGGTCGATCCATATTTCTGCTTCTGCTCCTCCTCCTCCTCCTCCTCCTCCTCCTCCTTCTTCTTCTTCTTCTTCTTCTTCTTCTTCTTCTTCTTCTTCTTC